GGAAGGAAAGAGAGAGAGAGAAGGAGATGGAGAAAGAGAGAAGAGAGAGAGAGAGAGAGGAGAGAGAGAGAGGAGAGGAGAGATGAAGAGAGAGAGAGAGAGGAGAGAGAGAGAGAGAGAGAGAGAGAGAGAGAGAGAGAGAGAGAGAGCGAGAGAGAGAGAGAGAGAGAGAGAGAGAGAGAGAGAGAGAGAGAGGTGCATACATCTATTTGTCAGATAAACTGACAAATAGATGCATGCATACATACATACAAACGTACACATATGATTGATAGATGAATAAGTTTATAAGATAGCAAAATAACGAAAAGGAAACATAATATACATGTGGCTTTGTATTTGTTTATGGACTGAAAGCCTTGACATAGAAACTTACGATGTGTGTTAGACTGAAAGACTGTTAGAAATGTGTGTAAGAAAGACTGCGGTTTAGGCGATTCCTTTTCCTCAACTCACTTCCAAAAGCAAAATTAGATTTTAGAGAGTAGAGTGAGTTAGAAAAGAAGTGAATGCTAACAGACTTTCAGCTTTGAAAATAATGTCTTAAAACGAAATAAAAAAAAATGTTGATAATAACTACACTGGATTTTTTCAAATGAGAAAACTTACATTTAAAAATCTTGTTGAAAAACTTTATCAAACTATTAACTTTTCCCACAGCAATGAAAACTAATGCAACAACAAGAGTATGAATAGAAGGAATCTATACTCAAAATCACATAAAACATCTCACAAGAGTAATATCTCCAAGCACCTCAGATGAGACCAGAAAGGCCAGAATCAGGAAAACAACAACAAACAGGCACTCATGAAATGCCTTTTGAAATGACTTTTTAGAAAATAATCGTTGAATGGTTAGCATAAGTTTTAACAGACATGATATATGCAATCAGTCATCTCACTGTAGAGTTACAAAAATATAATAAAGATATATCCTTAGAAAAGTTACCCATGAGTCATTCAATTTCAGACCAGGTCCCTACAAAAAAGTAATCTCAAAATCCTGAATATCATTAGAATACGTTGATTGTCGAAAAGGAACGCTCTCTAGGTTATGTGTTTCCGCCCACTAGTGAACTCGTTAAAAAGGTTGTTTCGTCTCCAAACACATCTTGATAAGTACCAAATATTTTCACCCGTACTTGGGTGGACTAGAGTGAAACCAGAATCGGAAATATCGTAAAATGCGTTTAACCACAGCCAAAGATGAAAATTGTGAACTTAACCATACCCGATACACAAAGATAAGCTTCTACTCTACAGATCATAAATGAACAAGTTCAGCAACTCGAAATCAGGTCGAGGAATAAAAAAAAAAAAAAAAAAAAAAAAAAAAAAAAATCCACAAAAGCAAGCTGCCCCAATCAGAAACAGATCACCTGAGTCGCCAGATCTCAGCATAAGCAATGCAAGCATACACACTTAATAGTTTCGGTTATTTCAATTATCCTGAGATTAGTTTTTGTATGAGTGTTTACCAGCACACTCGAATGCTACCTCTGGTTGGTGACATGAAGTCGCACCAGAGGTAGTTACCCGCCAGCCGCCATTCGAGATAGGTGCCCGTAGCTCCTGTTATTTCTCTAAATAATCTTATATACGCATACCTGCGTTTGCTCTCATCACCTTCAGCTCCTACATGGCGCAGTGAGTAGGATGAGTACCGAGGATATTTCGGAGGTGCCCGTTAGCAACGAGGGCGTGGTATTTCTGCAAGCAACCAGTGAAACAAAAGATGGGAAAGCTGACCATGTGAAGTCACCGGCCAGATCACTGGTGCCTCCTATAGCATATCCTTGGCATTTCTCACCCAGCCCTGACTTCACCCCGACCCCAGCAAGGACGGCTTGGCCAGTAGCTCAGAATCAACGGCCACCGCTCCCACCGTCAGGGCCAGGAGGAGCGACCGTTGGCATGTCGCCGTCAGCCTTTGAATCGTGGGCCGTTAGTGTGGAGGACTACAGCAACATTTGCGGATAGATGCCGCCATTGGCCGCCTCCTACGTAAGACTCCTGTGCAGCGGCGAGGTACAGCAGCGTATTGACGCTCATGTGAACAGGCAGGAATTCCGGCTACTATCAACCACAGCAGCAGTCAACACTGTAAGAAGTGTAGTGATCGGGCCTCGGTGTGTGGTCGGTGCATGGTCCGATTTTTTCACATACTCGCAAGCTCCTAGTGACACCATATGTGCATACGTATCGAAATGTCGAGCCATGGCAGGTGAGTGTAAATTCCAGTGCCCTAAGTGCCGATGCTCCTTAGATGAGTACATGGTAGGTAAGAAAGTGGTAATGGGTCTAAGCGACCGTAGCATGAAGGCAGAAGTGCTAAGGTGCATCCCCCGCCATGAATCAGTGAATAACATAATTCGTACGTGTGAGGTAATAGAGTCTGCTGAAAAAGCAGCAGGTCGGAGTGCCGTAGGTAATGTGGCAAGTGTGTTGGCTACGCAGGACCCGGTCATGAAGTCCCCATCCCCCTCCCCGGACCCCACACATATTGAAGTAGCAGCGTCAGGCGCATCACGTCGACCTAACGACCAGCAATCTTCACGTTACACTGGAGCCAGACGTGGTCGTAAACACTGCAGGGGGTGCGGGGACAGTGACTGTCGAGGAGACCGCCAATGTCGTGCCTTTGGGGTTGTTTGCCGCTCGTGTGGACTTAAGGGGCACTTCTGGCGCCAGTGCCCAACCCTCACCCCAAAAGGCAGTGCTGTCACATCCAGTGCAGTGACAGTAGGGAGTGTGGACACATTGGCATCCTTGCCTGTTATAGTTGTCTGTGGTAACCTTCGCACCAGGTGCTCGACCATGGCTGTGGCAGACACTGGCGCCCAGGTGTCCATGGCAGGGCGCACATTATTGAACAATCTTGGCATCCTGCAGCACCAACTACAACCAGCACCTGTAACAGTCAATCATGTTGCTGGGGGTGGCGTGCATCTCCTTGGAATCTTGATCTGCCAGCTTGTGGTGGGTCCTGTTACTACGAATGAACGCACTTTCTTTGCAAACGGGGTCGAGCGTCTCTACCTGTCTCTCGGAGCATGTAAGTCGGTTTGTCTAGTACCGCCTGAGTTCCCATGCCACTCAGTATCCATCTGTTCGGTAGCACCCCTAGATATCCCACAGGTCCCAACACGTCCAGAGGAGCCACCTTACGAGCTGGCAGAAGAGAATGTGGACCGTCTAGAGAAATGGTTCCTAGAACGCTTTGGGCGCATGGTATTTGCTGTGGGACGTGCACCCCTCCCGGAAATGCAAGGTCCGCCACATCACATCCACCTGCGTCCAGACACACACCCACATGCAGTCCATGTCCCAGCTACAGTGCCACACCACTTATACGATGAAGTGCAACAACAGTTAGATGATGATATCAAAAAGGGAATCATTAAAGCAGTACCTGCTGGTGAACCAACTGAATGGTGTTCACGAATGGTGGATGTACCCAAGAAGGACGGAAGACCCCGTAGGACAGTCGATTTCCAGCGGCTCAATCGGGCGAGCATGAGAGAAACACACCACACAAGGCCCCCCTCTGACCTCATCACTAGTGTGCCAAAGCATACCTTCAAGACTGTAGCTGACGCATACTCTGGGTACCATCAAATACTTGACAAGGAGAGCCGCAAATTAACAACATTCATCACCCCATGGGATGGATTCAGATACTGTAGAACTCCCATGGGACATTGTGCTGCACAGGATGCATTTACTAAACGCCTCGATGACATAATCAGCACTGTGCCCAGAAAGATGAAGTGTGTTGATGATACACTGTTGTACGACGGGAGTATTGCTGAGGCATTCTGGCACACATATGACATCCTGCTAAAGTGCATGGAGAATGGTGTAACCCTGAGACCAGACAAATTTCCCTTTTGCAAAAGAAGCGTTACATTTGCTGGGTACGTTCTTGATTGGGAAGAATACCAACCCAGCAAGGACCTCGTCAGGAGCATTATGGAGTTCACAAGGCCTACCCGGTCCACTTTAACCGATGTCCGTGCATGATTTGGTTTGGTCAACCAACTGGCACCATTCCTGGCAGTGGCCCCCATCATGGAGCCCTTTAGAGAGCTCCTAAAGAAGCCAGTAGCGAAGTCGGTGTACTGGGACGAACAGCTGCAAGCCATATTTTCATCGGCAAAGGATACCATTGGACAGCCGGCTGCTGCAGGGTTACGCTACTATGACGTCTCACGTCCAACGGCCGCATTCACTGACTACAGTCGCCAGGGTATTGGATTTCTTGTCAGGCAACAGTACTGCCAGTGTATATCTCAGAAGTCACCACTGTGCTGCACGGGCGAGTGGAAACTAGTGTTGTGTGGTAGCAGGCACCTCATGGCTGCAGAAAAAAACTACAGTACCCTCGAAGGGGAAGCCCTTGCTATCGCATGGTGCCTCTTTCTACTGGGCTGTAGGAACCTCACATTCATCACCGACCACAAACCTCTCACCAGAATTTTTGGTGATAAGGAA